CAGGAAGAACAGATAATGAAATCAAAAACTATTGGAACACCCACATTAGAAAAAGGCTTCTTCGAATGGGAATTGATCCAGTGACTCACAGTCCTCGCCTGGATCTTCTTGATTTATCCACTGTTCTAAACTCATCTCTCCACAATGCATCCCATTTTAATTTCTCAAGATTATTAGGGATGCAGAATATAATAAACCCTGATTTGCTAAGGTTAGCTACTTCTATCTTAGCATTCCAATCCCAGAACCAGGGTTTTCCTCTACAAAAAAATGTTCAAGAAAATCAGATTTTCAATGATCAAGTTCAAAACCAGATGCCCTCATTAGTCCAACCTTGCCAATTACTACAAACCCCAGTTCAAGATGATCAATCCCAACTCATGATGCAATCAGACAGTGAAAATTTCCCACAAAATATCTCACTGAACGAATGGCAAAGTAGTGGATTTTTGACAGAAGATTATGTACCTACAGTCACAAATTACGACTACTATAGGCCGTCCAATCAACCCATCATCATAGATCCTTCTCCATCTGATGATCAGACTTCAACATTTCAATCTAATAGCTGCAATACTTTCAGTTTCCAATCCATTTTGTCGAATATATCAACGCCTTCATCAAGTCCAACTCCAAATTCAACTTATATCAACAGCAGCAGTACAAGTCATGGAGATGAGAGAGAGAGCTACGGCAACAACATGTTGAATTTCGATATGGACGTAAATGAATTTATGCAACTTCATTAAGAAACCAGTGTAATTATCTTAATTAGAGGTTTTTTCATATCCTAAGTGCTTGACTTGGACTTAATCTTCTGTTAGTTTCTTGTATAATTTATTTTTTAAAAGCATTTGTTTCTATTTTCCAACCAGGAAACTTCATTCTGTAAATGGTTGTGCATGCTTCTTGTGATATTTCCGTTATTTGGCGTAAAATCATAAATTATTTCTTGTTGTGGACACTAATTATTGTACGAATAGATATAAAATAATGAGTAAATTAAATAACATGCGCATCGGTAGACGGATATATTGTAGTAAAGATTTTGAATATCAATATTACAAGTATACATAATATTGTTAAAGGAAAATTTTAAAGTCAATACTTGCATGGAAAATATCGAAGACTTTCTATCAATTTTTTTATATATTACGTGTAATTTATGTATAATTTAGTGTCCCTGAGAACCTGTCTGATTATTTTAAGTAAGCTCTGATGTAATATAATTTTAAAGACTCTTTTTTCATATTTTAACTGTCCCAAAGGGGAAGATATCAATCAAGGTGGAGGTTTCCCAACAGTCTAATTCCGGCTACTAAGCTGCCGAATCGGCTGCTGGAGCTTTCCAAGGAGACACCTGTCCCGCCACCTGTATGAATTATGATTAACCCTCAAAATCATGTATTTAAAAAGTAATGGGGGATTATATATTTGCATGGCTAAGTTGGGGTTTGACTTTGACTAGGGTGGCACGTTTCAAGGAACTATAGGAGGATAGAAGTTATGGGGACCACATGTAAAAGGGCTTAATTGAAAATCATGGCGTGGCTCTTGTACTAAATTTTTTTTTTCTTGATTGAAATAAATGAGGACAATTGCGTCACCAGTGAGGCAATTGGGCTGAATAGTGAGGAATGGGCCCCCACTGCTTAACCGGGTTTGCGCGGTAACTAAACGGGTTCTTATCATATTGTGCAGAAAAGGATGATGACATGACATGTCATGCTATGAATATGCATCCATCCAATTCTCTCTATTTTAGAGAGTCGAATAAATTCAATGATACTCTCTATTTTAATTATTTAAAATAAGGGTTGAGTTTTTATTTTTACTTTGTAATGACTTCGTTAATAAGTTATAGATTTCGATACTTTATTTTTCAAATTAATCTAATTACATTTGAATTGATTGGTCATTGACATATAAAATAATATGTAAAATAAAATATAAGGACAAATCAAATATTTATTGAAAAGATAAGATGAAGGGTCAAAATAAAGAACAATATTGAAGAGTAAAAAAAAGTACTTTCTAAAATAAAGACGTTCTCTATTATACATAAAATGCTCTTATAAATACAAAGTTTCTTGAACATGCTCTAATTGAAGGGAAAAAAATGATTTTGATGATGTTTTGTTAATAATAAATATAATTCACAGTCATATATTTTGTCTTATGTCTTTTAAAATTTGGAAGATAAAATGAATTTTAGCCCATGTTTGATTTTCATTATTTCAAAATTCATTTTTTAAAATCATTTTCAATCCCATATTCTCAAAAAAAAAAAATTTGTGCCCAGACTAAAAACTTGTTTCTACTTTTATTACACATTCTCAAAAAGTTCAATATTATAAAATTCATTATGATAAAATAGTGGATATCAAACAAAGGCATAATTGCTTAATTAGCCCTTTTTGGTTTTTATTTTTTCACTCATTTTTTATTACACACTTTCACAATAATTTCATCACTAATTTTTTTGCATCCCTAATTTTTGCATCACAATAATTTTTTCGGACTCAAACTGAACTTAATTTCAATCCTAATTTTTATGCAATGCATATATTACAGTTGGTATTATTATTATTATTATTATTATTATTATTATTATTATTATTATTATAGGAAGTAATTATTTTAAGGATACGACATTAAAATGTTTATTTTGAAGAAATGGTTGGTAAATCATAGTTATTATCTAAATCGTGATCATTCTTATTAGTTGTATCGTGTACCCATTAGCCCTTGAATAATCTCTTCAACAGTAGATTATTCCATCATCGTATCATTATTACTAAGATAATTCTATAGGTGCTCGACATCTATTACATGCTTGTAACATTGGCTTGAAATGATTTCACGTAATATATTGATATATTAAAAAATTAGTCATTTATCGATAAATCAATAATCCCTTTAAATTAATAAATTTTCTATATTTCAAAATTATTATCTTATAGAAATTTTACTTTATATAGACATCAACTGTGTTCCCCAATTAGATAAAACATAAAGATTTCTATCAGATAATAATTTTGAAATCGAAAAATTTTCTCGATCTGTTTTATATAGTCTTTTCTTTATTAACGTGTCTCCTAATAGGACGAAATTCAATTTTAAAAAAAAAAATTCTTACAATTTCACAGTATTTATCTAGCCCCTGTTTGAATTATAAAAAAATTAAATTTTTAGTAATTTTGATGAAAATTGATTAAATATATAATAGAAGAATTGTCAAGCTTGCGAAGTCTGTTAATAAAATTAAATATCGATTTTAAATTGAAATTTAATTGACTTGTTCTAATGGAAGATATGGGGCCTAAAATTGGTGCATAAAATTGCCGTCAACGCTTGATATCCAATCATGAGATTGAAGGGCAACCACATATATAGCTTAATTTCTCTACCTTCTACTCGTACGATTGGAAGCTGTAATTATGAAGCTATCATTATTAGCGCACGTCAGCCATATGTCATATATAAGTCAAATGTGTACATGCATATGAACTAAGTTAGATGTACATGTACATCCTTGGTTGACGTCAAAGATGATATTTCCATAGAAAGAAATTTGGTTAGAATAGATGTTTTTAAAATCAATGATGTAGATTGCTATCACATAAAAAAGTGTCAAACTCATTATCAAAAAAGGTTGAACCCCAACTTCGAGGACCCCCACCGCCCCATCCCTAAAGCTTTGTGAGGGAGGTAAATCGTGGGATGTGCCCCATCAGACTAGAGAACAAGAGCTACCTGTACATTACGCCTAGAAAAAGTCCAATTCCATATCTCAGGAATCGAACCCCCACACTGCGACTGTCAGCAAGGCGTGAGATAACTCCACTCCTATCCTTTGTATCACTGGACTATGCCCCAGGAGGCCTGTCAAACTCATTATCAATTAAGTCTGGGCATGATTTGGTTTTAGTCCACTTCGAGTCCAACCCGAAATTAAAACTAAATTAGTCGATTTTGGTAAATTTCAATCAAAATCAACACACTCTAACTCTTAAATCGCACCTTGATTTGGTTCGGTTATGTTCAATTGGTCGGTTTGGACTTTTATTCCAAATTGAATTTTAAAAAAAATTGTCCAAGTTTTAGGCCTGCTTAGATTACAAGAACTAAAATAACTAAATAATTTTATATTATAAGAATTATTGACTAACAAATAAAATGAGGTTAATAGAGATGGTTTAATAGAAAACTTAATAATTTTTATTTTTTTATTCAATATGTGGTCTGACTACCTAAATATGAAAAAATGGCTTGCAAAATACAATTTTCAGTACTATTATTTACCGACAACATTATAGATTGGAGGGAATCGATGCACTGTTCTGAGATTAAGGCTTATCTTGTGATTTTTATTTTCTTAAAAAAAAAAAAGAAAAAAGAAAGAAAGAAGGTAAAAACGTAGGTTGGGTTGGGTTGAGCCAGTCAATCAATGGTTTGAGGTTTCAAGTCATGACCGAACCGATCCGCCATAACTTTGTTTTAAAGAAAACCAAACCAATTACTTGTGTCGAGTCAACCTGAGTTGGTTCAATTTGATTGATTTGATAGATTTTTCGATTTTTTTGCTCAAACTTATTATCAACCATGATCTTCATAAAACATGATATGTATATACATATAACAATCTTTCTCTATTTCTCTCAATACAACTATTTATTATTATTTTTCCCTTTCTTGTTAAGGAATGGATGAATCTAATATGATATTCCATTTCAAAGCTTTTCAACAAGCCTTCATTTAGAATGAAATTTATTAATGGTATATAAATAGATTTCAAATATATATTTATTACTATTATTATTTACATATTTTGTGTTATGTATTATTAATTTTTTCTTATTATTCTTGTTTGTAGACCATTTACGAATTTACCAAACAAAAGCTAAGGGCTTGCTTGGCAGCTTTTTAACTGATTTTAATGATTTTGGTAGGAGTGTCAATGGGCCGAGCCGAGCCATGAAAGCACGAGCTCGGCTCGGGCTCGCCACGAGTCGAGTCGAGCTCGGCTCGGCCCACAAGCTCGTGGCTCGTGGGCGAGCCGAGCCCGGCTCGTGAGCACACGTCGTTTTTATTTTTTATTTTATTTTTTTTGGAAACAAATAGGTAAATTGGAAAATAAAAAAGTAATTTTAATTTTTAAATCGTGAATTTTTTACATAAAAAATTTATATATATAAAAAACTAGGTAAAAAATTTAAACCCTCCTCCTTTATCCAAGTTTGGGACCGGCTACTTAAATTTAGAGTAGACGGAATTAAAAATTGTGTTGTTTGTTTGTTTGTTCGTGTACAATTTTTTAAAGAAAATTTAAAACAGTATTAAAAATTATTTTTTCAAGCAACGCTGCGCGTCCCCTTGTATATAATTTTCGAAGTAAATTCCTTCTAAAAATTGAAAGGGTAATCGAATGCCCTTTCAATTGTCAAAAGCTTTCACTTCGAATATTATATAGAAGTCTTTCACTTTGAAAATTATATATAATCTTTGAAGTGAAAGACTTCTGACAATTGAAAGGGCAATCATTCGATTACCCTTTCAATTGTTAGAAGGAATTTACTTCGAAAATTATATGCAAAGGTACGCACAGCATTGTTTAAGAAAAAAATTTAAAATGTAGACATATAGTAGTAATAGTATTAAGTACTAACAAAAATTTAACTAAATTGGTGGAAAGAAATTTTATTTTTCTTTTTTTTTTTAACTAAAAGAGATAGAAAAAAAATAAAAT